CTTGTCTTCATTTACTCATTTTTCTTATGTTCCATCGTCAACTATAAATTAGTCAAGTATAACAACAGATTTTTCACAATTAGAAAATTCATGAGCTTTCCTGTTTTCCTCGTCGATTGCATCTATTAATATGAAAGTAAGAATGAATTTTGATTTGAAGAAATTTCTTTTGTATTTATTGCTAGTTTCAATAGCCCTTCGAACATAAGGTTCATATATTATGTTGTCTACAACATTCATGTATAACTCTTCTTCAATAATATCTTTTATTTAATTTCTTTATTTCGCGTGAGCATCTATGATATTTTTCACTATGTTTTATACTTCTTTACTAAGATTATAAAAGCGACTATGTAGTAGGTTAAAATCTAACATATGTTCAAGAAGCATGAAGAAAGTGAATAAAATCGATCTAAAGATCTACCTCTCGAGAATATTTTTCATCAATCATCAATGATATTATCTTTTCATATAACCTAAATTAGTCATTGATCATTTGATTGTATTATCAAACTAATATCTACTCTTCATATTAAAAACTCATTAGTCTTTTACTAGTGTATTTCGTTGTATTAATTCATAACAAGAAGAACAAAAAAGAAATCTTAATTTTATGTATTTTACAGATGCAAACAATCAATAGATCTAAATAATTGATTCTTTTCATAAGTATTGACAAGTATTTTTTTTACAATACATGTTTTTATTTATTCATTTCACAATTTCTTTCATAATTCAACACACATCTTATCACAAGTTTTTTTTTCTTTTTGTCAATGATATAGAATTGAATTAGTTACGTTTTTTATTACTTGCTTTTGCTTTAAAAAAATAATCTAACATATCAACAACAACAAAAGTTGAAATATTTTTTGATAAAAGTTTAAGTAAAAAGTAGTTATTTCCTGTAAGATGTTGATTAGCAAAATGATTAATATCTTTAGGATCATATTTAGTTCGATCAATAAGATGTGTTCGTACATAATGTTGACGTGTTTTATCACTACTAATAAGACAATGTATTAAATATCCAATCCATTTGATAAAATCAATAAAAATAATAAATGCTAATAAAATAAACCATAAATATAAAAAGACATAAATTTTTTCAACAATTATATTTAATGGTAATATACATTCAACAGTATATGCATGATTAGATGCTAATTCACGAAATGTAAAATCACAAAGTGTTCGTTTTGGAAATGAACTTGTATCAATTAATTCAGATACACCTGAACTTATTTTATTTATAAATTGACCAATAAAATGTGTTTCAAATGTATCTTCTTTTAAATGTTTAAAACGATTTATACCAAATGGACGTGTACCAATCATTAAATGAATTAAACTTATTTGAAATAAACAATTTAAAAAATATAAACATTTTACACCAATATAACATATTATTAAATAATATGAAAATATTCGATTATTATGATGATGACGACTATGAATAATTATATCATCATCTTCTCGATCAAATAATTGAGTATTTAAATAAATAAGTTTTTCTTCACGAAATTTTGATAAGGATTTTTTCTTATCAAATTTAGGTACATCATATAATTTACTTGCTCTATCTAATATAGATTTTACATCATGTCGACTACCTGAAAGAGCTAAGTGCCAAATTAATTTTGGTAAAAAAAAGAAAAATGCTTGAATTGCAAAAATCCATGGCTAACAAAAAATAAAAATAAATAAAACAAAACAAAACAAATAACGAATGATTCTTTCGATTTCGATTTCGATTTCGTTTTCTTTTTTTTTTTTCGAAGAATACATACCAACCATTGATAATAAATAATTAAACCTTCATATCGTTCATTTGCAGTTGAAGGTACACGTTGATCATCAGGTACATAATATGTATTATTTGCATAACAATAAGCTGTTATAGCTCTTTCATATCGTCTTAATTGTGCTGGTGTCCAACAAATAATTGGAACAGTATAAGATGATTTAACACCACAAAATACAGCAAATACACATAAAATAGCTGATGTAAATTTATAACTTAAACGATCAATAAGAAAATCATCAGCTTTAGCACGAACATCAGCTAATGATAAAATACCAGAAAATTTATTGGCTATACGTAATAAATCCATTCAAAATCTATAGTTGTCACAATAATGAGTATGTGTATAAATGTTTCTGTCTGTGATCACCTCTTACATTACAAAGCAAGAAGAAAAAAGAAATTTTTTTTTCTTTCCTCGACATTACTCTGACTGTGTTCCCTCGACATATCTATGTGTTCGTTTACTCATAAGGCAGCAAAAAGAATAAATGAAGAAAAGAACGAAAAAAATTTTTGACGTAATATCCCATACAATAAATCTGTATGTTATTTTGTATGCATATATATGTGTGTGCTCTATCACTTACCATACTCTTATTGGTGTGTAAAACAGTAAAAGAAAAGAAAAAACGTAGTTAAGCTCTTATTTCTAACATTTATTCTACTGAGATTTTGTTTGGTCTTCTTCTTCTTCTTCTTCTTCTCTCACATTTATCGTTCTCACATTCATGTATAGCAGAGAAAAGAAACCATCAATAAGATGAAGATGTTCATATAACGTAATATGACTATCAATGTATTGCTGTCAATAGACAATAACATCGTCAATGTCATTTTCTTTCAGCATTATATACTAACACAAACAAACTGATAGGTTTCTTTTTACCAAAGAAAATGATTGCTAGATCTGATCAAGCAATCAAATGAGAATATTTATTTTTTTCGATAGTAATCAACAAAAAAATCAACACAATTTAATATTCTTCAATCTTAGTTGAATGAAATATATCATCAAGCCAATCATGTTGTTTTAATGATCCATTTTGATCATAATCTTGTGATTGATTATTGAGATTTTCTGTACTTATATAAGAAAGAGATAAATTTGGTCGAAGTGAATATCTTGAATAATCATCTTCTTCGATATCTTCATTTTTTACATATAGATTTTCATGAATTATTTGTTGATCATGATTTTCTTTTGTCGAATTTTGAATATAAAGAATCTTTGAAATAGATTCTGGTGGATGACGACGAGTTACAGGAGCACTTTGTGATATGAAATAAATATTCTAAAGAATTAACATAAGAATATTATAATAGAAGAAAATACTTAATTTACTTTGTTAACAGATTCTATAGGTTTAACTTTTTTATTATTTTTCTTTAATGTTTGTGAAGATTTTTTCGATGGAAATAAAAGACTTCGTGATATATGAGAAAGAAGTTTTGATAATGAAAAGAGAGATGACCATTTTTTATTTTTATTTGAAGACATATTGCAATCAAAGTAACAAAATAGTAAATGTAATGAAACATGTCATATGTAAAAATATGAAGTTAAATGAAATCTAAGAGGTTTAAGTTAATTATTTATGACAATTAAGAAGAAATGAAAGATTTATTTTATTTAAATTAGTGTTCTTACAGTCTTTTAAGAATAGGAAAATTGGCTCAACTAAAGCATTCGCATGTTGATGATCTTACGTGGTTAATGTTTACATTTACTAATTAATAATAAATAAGAGAAAGTATGTGTTAGAATATCGTGAGAATGACATGATTATAAACATCTGTATAATATCAAATGTCTATGAGACATATTATATAATCTGTTGAAAAGCAAAACAATCAATGATTGAAAGAATATTTTTACGATGATCATTCATCATAAATCGATAAATGAGA